GCTGAATGCAAGCAGTGTTATTGGACAAATTTTGCACCACGGTAGTAGCCTACTTGTAACGTTAAACGGTAAGGTCGGACGTTAATTTGTGTTCATTAACAATTAAAAATTGATCATTTGAGGATGTCGCGATTGTGGCGCGCCTTCTTCGCGCTCTCTTCAGTCCGTCGACTCGAGTATGCTGTTTACGTGACAACAACGTTGTCAGTAGGTGGCTAATTCTGCGAGATATCTAGCTCGATATATTGGGAAACGAGGGGAGTCGGGACTGCGCACGAGGCGAACGAATTCGCAGGAACGAATCAGGAGGACGTGGCATTTCGCTCTTTGCGTTTTTAGTTAGCCTCTCGAATTCTTAGATAGAAGGAAATAGCCTACTACATGCAGAAAGGGGAGGAAGAGGGCGGGATAATACCAGTCAAGGTACAAAATGTAAAGTGAGATTTACACTCGAGAGACGCTGGCGGGGATCTTTGTTGAGACGAAAGAGCCGAGGCGACGCAAACGACCTGGTAAAGACTGATTCTTACTATTCGCCCAGGTGGCGGAGTCTGTCAATTCTCCATCCAAATTTTTTGTAGTTCTTGAGATGTGAATAAGATGTTGAGATGTGATAGCGGAAACTGTGAACATTCCAACACAAAGGCATTGAGGAATGTTTTGACGAAGGATTGACGAACTGCTGTCGTCACCTGGACAGATAGTGAGGATCAACCTTTAAGGTATGAGAAAAATATTCAGGAGAATGCCTGCACTTATTCTTACATCTTTTGAACGTTCGCTCGTCTCCACAATAGGACGATTAAGATTGGATTCTCACCCGCTCAGCCGCTCAGAGCTAGCAGCAGACAGAAGCCCGTTGATCTTTCGACAATTCTTTCTTCTTAATTGAAACGATTGAGATGTGACAGTGACGAATATGTCATAAATATGCGACTCGGACGCAAAAGCATTATAGAAACTCTTAACGGAAAATTGACAAGCTCCTGTCTGCCGTCATCAATACGCACGGTGAGAATCAGCCTTAATTTGACGAAATATGTTGAACTAAGATTTGCAGATTTCGTGTATATCATGTGCGTACCTTGAAGCCGCAGCGATTGGCTGCCAAGTATCCTAAGAGTTCAGATGTGTCAGATTGTAAAAGTTGAAAGTATTAGACTTCTGCTAGGAGGCGAAAAGGATGAAAGGGAAAATATCGCGCTTCCAATAGAATGAAGTGATGACTGCGAGATTGTTTCTTGAAATGTATCTTCAAAAAAAATTAATGCGGTAAAATTGCTTGAACGTAATGTAATTATTGTCGAATTCTGGATGATTCTCTTTAGCGCTATTTTTATATCGAATTAATCATATAGTTTAAAGTAACGCTATCCTTTTATTAATTCTAATTACAAGCTCTCGACAGACAGTTGGTGATTTTCCATTGGAAGTGCGATACGACAAGCGGCAGACGAAATAAGCGATCAGTGGCTAAGGAACAGTTTATCTTCAAATTGTAATCTATAAACTATGTTATGTAGAAAAGATATATTCTGTCACAACGAAGCGCTGAAAATGATATGGAATCACAAGAGCCACACTTCTCTCTCTCTCTATAAAAAAGAAATTAATTTAATTATCAAACAGTGCGTGCGTGTGTGTGTGTGTGTGTGTGTATGTGTGACTTGCCCAAAAGGAACATGAGTGATTGCATCAGCGTATTTGTATCTTGCTTTCAACATCTGTAAATGTAACTTCGTGTACTAAAATATCTAAAAATTGTTTCTAAAAAGTATTCATATAGATAATTAAGTTATAATACTCTCTTTGTCATATGTAGAGGCCACAGTTAACAAGGATAATATTTTTGACCATGAAACGATTGTTATTTCAAACATTTTTATTGCAGTTTCTCATTATTCATCTATTTAGTATTATACGAATATATATTTAGATATTTTCCATTTTCTTTCTCTCGATTCAGCTTCGTGTGGCTCAAAGGATGTTATCATTCTTGGCTCTTCAAATTTAATACGATATTGGATACAGTTTAGTCCAAAAGCTGTTAATCTGGCACCGCTTTACTTTAATAAAAGCGAACGATATTTAATATTAAATTTATTACTAGCGCTTTTAATCTACTCGTAAAATATTCACGGGAAAGATAGCGCGTACACCTCGCGAATTCCACGTGCTTACTCGCGACAGGTGTTTATCCGTGTAAATCGCTGAAAAGTGCATTGTTCCTGCGTCACTGAGCGGATCGATCACACTCACGTGAGTGTGAATGACCCGGGAAGATCCGAGATTACGAGTTCGGGGTGGGTTAATGGGCAGAGGCGGCTTACATCGTCCGACGGAAGCCTCGAAGGTGTTCTCCGACGTTGGCGCATCGAACGCTAGAAATTCCGTGGGAACGCTATTTTTCTCGTTTGCCGGGAAACTACCAGACGTAAAAAGAAAAGAGAAGAAGGGGAAAACGAAAATAGGTTTTTTGTCCTTAACCAAAGCAGGGAGAACGACGAAGTGAGAAAGAAAAAAATAGAGAGAGAGAGAGAGAGAGAGAGAGAGAGAGAGAGAGAGAGAGAATGAAAGGGAGAGAGAGAAAGAGGAAGAGAGTGTGAGAGTGTGAGTGAGAGATGTGGTGCATGACGGTGTAAAATTAATTTTCTCTCGGGGCGATCGAGTGGAGGGCACTCGAGATATCTCGGGAAGATATATGCGCACGAGAAGGACAGAATTTTCCATGTAATATATATACCCTTACGTAACTACGTTGTTTAATATTGATAAGGATCAAAAATAAAAGTGATTATTCAAAAGCTAATGTGACGAGAGCAGTATTATTCAATATCTCCTATGTGTGTGTGTGTGTGTGTGTGTATACGTTTGTGCGTGTGTGTATATGTTGTATGTGTTTGTATATGTGCTGACATACAATTGTATGTTTGTTATTATGATCAGCATAAATTATTCTCTATCTAAAAATCAAGCGCTTTTGGTAGAAATTTTATTTTTTCTATGTTTCTATATTTTTCATATTCACAAAATCTTTATTATTTTTACCATCAGACTTTTTTAGGAGAAAAAAATGATTATATAAAATTACATATGATTTATGTCTTTATGAATTTTGTCTTTATACAGCCATATATATTTATAATTATATGTAATTATACATGTTCACACACGAAAGAAGATGCATGACTAGAGACTTTAGAGAGATAACATTTTTGCATTAAACTTCCAAAATTCTTGACTTCCACTGAATCTATAAAATGTCTCAAAACAATTAGCAAAAGATATGAAATGTACAAGGCTTGTGTTAATGCAACCGGACAAAGTTGTCTCGGACGAGGAAGCGCGCACATTCCTTTCGGCGCTCTTTCCGTGAACCTTTTTCTAAAACTCGAATGTAACGCGCGTTACAACACGCGGAAATAACGGCGCGGTGACGATCGCGTGCCGTGACACGTAAAACATTCGCCGAGAATCGCTGTCAGTATTTTCGTGATGTAATCGGACATCGGCCACTTTACGAAGTAAGAGACCACCACACTTTCCGTGTGACCATCTTCCAGACGTTCGAGGCGACTTGTTCGCCGATACGAGGAAAATGTCAAGGTTTCATTCCGAGCCCGAAGCGAAATGTTCGTCTCCTCCGGTACGGCGCGACCGTGCGGTGTGACAAGCGTTTTCCGTGTCGTTCGAGAGTGAGAATGAAAAAAATCAAGATAGGGGAGAAGAGGTATATTGCATTGGGTGTTGTGTAATGAGCAACATTATGAATTTTTCTAGTAAAACGAAACGATTGTATTCTTACTATATTGTGATTATACTATATTGTAATTATACTAAAATCCATGTACATTTTTTAACTATAATCTTTCCCCATCTTTCGCGTACTTTATTTCGCGTTATTTAATAAATTTCTAACGACGTAAAAGTATAATCGTTTCGCTCTGAAAAATCCGAAATTAATTGTTGCACAATTTAACGTGATACTCAAGTTAGCTTACTTCGAATTCTAATAATGAGCGGTTTCTCGTATAAATTATATTCTCGCGCCAATTTATGCAATTACGACTGCGCAGGATGAGTAAGGCAGAAGGAGCGAAGTATGGTACGCGTATAAACGCGCGTGTGGATGCGACGTGCATTATAACTTGCTCTTTGCTGGATAAAAAGAGACTTGACCTCCACAATTGCCATCGTTGTGCGGGCAAGCGGACAAGGCTGTTCGCGGATGACATTTCTTCGTCTTGACATTCATACAAACCCATCGTCGCGTCGCAAGTCGTATGGACGTCGTCAGGTTACAGGATATCGCGCATAAAATTCTCATCCCCCCGTCCAGGTGACGGCAATCAGGAGTCTGTCGATATTTTTTAAGTAGGCATGATTGACATTTGACGGTAATGGACACTGCGAATATTCCGATTCGAAAGCATTGAAAGCAATATCTTAACTTGAACAATGTCTGATCGTGGACTCTTGTCTGCTATCAGCTATAGGCAGATATGGGAAATCACAACTTTAATAGACGCGAGAACGCGAATTCGTGAACAAAAGGACGACGGTATTGATCAAAAATATTGACCGAAAATGCCTTCATTTTTCTCAAACCAGTCGAATTTTCCAGTCGAAAATTCGGAAACCTCCAGCAATATCGAAAATTACCTACCGCAACCTGAATCTACGTAAGTGGATTTGAATTATAACTTACTCTCAAATAAAAATAGAAAAACATCTTAAAATTCGAGAAGTTCGAGGTGAGAAAAATGAGAAAGATTACGTTGAAATCGCCTCACGACCGTAGCGCGACGTCGACGTCGAGTCAAAACCGTCGCGGAATGAATGGAACCCACGACGACGCTTTCGGCTAACAGTCGAAGCCACGTGAGCCTTTTACTTTTAAAGAAGGACAGGCCGGTTTTCTGCGGGCGGGTGGCATCTCCTGCGCGAACATAACCGAAGACGACTTACGACTCCCGCTCTCATCCGCGCGCGCCAAGATGATAAAAGCGTGCCAGGAGGTGACGGCGCGTCGTAGTCCTCTTTTCGGGATCGATTCAGAAGGTACGTGTACGAGCGCGCGCGATTCCACGCAGCCGAGATGGCTCCGAAGCCGATCGTTCATCTGCTGATCGCCTGCGGCGTCTTCGTTGTTACGACCTGTGAGTAAGCGTTACCCTCTCGTGCTCCGCTGCAACTTCGAGAAAGTGAAGCGTCTCCTCGTCCGTACGCCAATCGCGAGAGCAATGAATCGTTTGCTCGTTTCTCCCGTGTTACTTCAATCCCGCGATTGCAGTGATGTGACTCGTAATGACGCGAGTGATGAAACAGCCGGCGATCATTATTTTCTGTACTTAAATATTTAAATAGGTAAAATACACACGCACACATCCGGGGGTTAACTGGGATAATCAGTATTCAGTAAATTACGAGGCAGACAAATCGAAGTGAAAAAGATACAAAGTTTCAAATATCACGAGTCATGAAAAATAAGCAAAGTGATTAGAAACTGAAATGATACAGAGAGATCGACCATGCATGTATTTTAATTTATGAGCAAAGATTGAGCGGTTCGACTTATTCTAATTTATTAGCTTGCTTACGAAATGTTTGTTTGAAAAGAACCCAGCACAGAAATACATACACATTTTTCCGATGTGTGGACATATTATGTAACGTATTAAGTAGCTAGTTTCCCAACGTATAACTGCAGATTAAGTTGACAAAATCGGCACCGTGCACCGAGCTACACCGGCATGATCGAGAAATTCGCGCAGAACTATTTTTATAAAACGCAACGCGGCCCGAATAGCGCTTTTCCCGTCGAGCGACTATAAATATGCTCAGTCACGAGCGCACCTGTAATTTGTATGCGTTGCGCTCGCGCGCCACTAGAGAAGCGCATTTTCATGCGAAACTTAGAAAAATATGAATATTAATCTAACGTAGCCGCATTATAAAGTTATATCATCATCACCCTATTTGCCCGTAGTAAACAAGTAACGAGATGTAATCTGCGTTACATCGAGGTCGAAAAATTAGCTTTCTCGGTAAAGAAACCACAACATGGATGATATATAATTATGTATAATTATATAGTCATACATGAATTTTGTCTCTAAATAGAAAGAATGGTTTTATTCAATTAAACGTCGACATACAGGCTCCCATAAATATAAGCAGTTCTTTAATTCTATTTATATAGTAACACTTTTTTCTGTATAAAAGAAATATATATATATATATATAATTCTGCATAGCCACAAAGAGACAAAGTTCATATATATAATCTTTTTTCGGAAATGAATAGGAAGAGCCATGAGAGAATAATACACTTCGTGTAGAAACCTGTGAAATAGTTGGAATCTCTCTGGCCCATCCCTCCCCCCCTTCTCTCTCTCTCTCTCTCTCTCTCTCTCTCTCTCTCTCTCTCTCTCTCTCTCTCTCTCTCTCCTTTCCTCACTCTAACCGAAACCCTCGACAAACGAAATTAATGTTCGTTCACGTTAGCTTAACGACGGATAATCGAGTTTGTAATCAGCGGGACTTTCTCCCATTGTTTGCATTCATTATCTTGCACAATTTCTGTCTCTACGGAAATTTCTCGGGGAACATCACCGGGGTTTGCCGTTTGAAATGGTTTCCGTGCATGAAACCATTCTCGTCGTTTCTCGACCTCTCGCTGTATCCTGGAGCGAACGTTGGACTGGCGCACTCCTTCGTTCTATATTCGGTCACGAGCGAATCAATTTTCGCAAAGAAGGCGAGAGTAGAGGCGAAAGTAGAGAGATATTACTTTATCAGCTCACGAAAGATATGGTTTATTTGTAAGTTTCTGCTAAATATTTTTCTATATTCTTTAATTATATTAAGAATTTTTATAAATCCCCATAGAATTTTTAGCTTATCTTTTTGTGTGAAAAGAAACACTGCCGGGACCGTTTGCAAGGGATCCTTCCTTCTAGGGCACAATTTTTCGATCAAGAAGAATTTTTTCACTATTGTCACGGCCTCCCTTTCAAAGATCGTTTTATCTCTTCGCGCGATTTTATTTTCCCGCTTTGAAAAAATTCTCCAGCGGCCCCAAACTCAATCTCCGATACACTGCCTGCGGCGAATCGGTTAAAAGCGGCACGCGGTTGTTGCGTAAGCGCTACACGCAGGTAACGCTAATGTATGCGTCGTCTTCGTAGAGGTCGAGTGCTGTCGGCAATCGCCGAACTTTCGCCATCGCTTGATAATCGTACACGCTGTGTTAGCGCGACTTATTAATGCTTTCTGGACCGACTCGTCCGACGGGTTTTGCGCTACGATATTGCGTTTGAAGCCGGCGTTCGGAAACCTATCTTACCATACGATTCGACAACAGCGCTCGCGAGAGGAAAGAAACCATTTTCTGCGCACACAGCGTTCGGTTTTATCACACTTTGGTATTCGGTTAAATTAAAAATTACGGCCGATAGGATGATCGCGGACCTGTTCGAGTTATTTTTTAAGGAACCGAATTATTCTGACATCTTTTTTACACACGCGGTGTACATTGGGATTTAATCCGTGCCAAATTCATTGTATTTCAGCGATCAATCAAAATCAAGGATTCTCCAATCAGCTATTTGGCAATCAGCTGAATCGCGACCAGCAATTGTCAGCGAAACGCGGCGCATCCGCGTCGTGTCCGGAGAAGAACGGCCGTTTCCCGGTGCAGAATCAGTGCGACGCCTACATTGAGTGCATCGACGGGGTCCCCGAGGAGAAACTGTGTCCCGAGGGTCTGGTCTTCAATCCTGAGGCACGTTTCAATTATCCTTGCGGCTATCCGATCGACGTAGACTGCACGGGCAGGCCAAATTTACGTAAGTCAGTCACGATTGCGAACACCTTCGAAATTTGCAACCGCTTTCAGGCATACGATCAAGGTACGATTCAGGTAAACGTCAAGATCTGAATGTTAAGGACGATCAATTTGACCCTCTCGATCAATCAATTGTGCTCCTTTGCAAGTAAATTCTGACGTTAACACCGTAAGGCCACGTTTATAATATCATATCTCACGTCATGTTTTACTTTGCTTTATCTTCTTCATACATCATGTTTTATTATGTTTTATATCATGACTGATAGCTTACGTGTTCCTTTTTTATACATTTATAACACCTTGAATTCGGCTCTCATTCGGCTGGCTTTCATTTTGTACGAGATTTTTGTACGAGAAATTATCCTGCCAGACTTATGCGCATTAACACGACACTTGTTATCTCGAATTGTTTTCAGAACCGGCGGACCCGTCGGTAGACTGTCCTCATCAGTACGGCTACTTCAAGATCGGCGACCATCAGCACTGCGGCCAATTTATGAACTGCGTGGACGGTAGGGGCTACGTGTTCGATTGTCCGGAAGGTTTGGCTTTCAATCCGGAGACCTACCGATGCGACTGGCCAGATCAGGTGCCGGATTGCGACGCTGAAGCTTTCCTGGGTTTCCGCTGTCCGGAGGTGAAGAGCAACAGCTTCTTTCTGGCCGGCGAGACCAAGTTCTACCGCAGCAATGCCGATTGCCATCATTTCTTCCTCTGCGTGAACGGTCGGCCGCGACTGCAGAATTGCGGCGAAGGCAACGCTTTCAACGAACTGATCGATGCCTGCGATGCCGCGGAGAATGTCACTGGCTGGTGAGTTATGTTTAACCCTTCTCGAAAACTTCTCGAAGAACCTTTGTCATGTTTAATAAAATTGCTGCCTCTTTTAGACTAACGCTCGATGAAAAACAAATTTCATCGCGTTTACAGCTTAGATTAAAACATTCCTCTCTCTTTTTTCAGCGAGCACGAGGCGAAAGTGAGGACCTCTGAATTAAATATAGATTCGCGATTGCAGCTCTAAGAGAGCTGGGAATTAAAACAAAGACCAGCACAGTGCGACAGTTTCAAAGGATTAAGTATTGAAGGATTTCAGTAATAATGTCTTCGGCAAGATTACACGTATCGTGACGTTTATAACACACATGCAACAGCAGATAATTGTATATTTTTATACTCTAGAAATGCATTATGTATTTTGGACGATGAGATCTCAATGAGAAAGAAAGCCCGACTATATGTGTGATGCTTTCGAATATTGTAAATTGCGTACTCATCCTGATGCCATAAGCGGTATGTAATATATTAATATATAAGTTGTGTGTGTGTGTTTTAAGAGTACGTGCGCGCGCGCATCGTTCACATAGAAATATAAAAACTTTACATTTAATAAAACAAATGTGAAAATATAAAAATGAACATTTATTGCACACATGAACGAAAGTGCGATTGGAATTCAAATACAGCGAGAGAGAATTTAATCACAGGAATTTATAAGATTATTTGCGTAGTTCTACCGTAAATTCTCTCGTACCGTGAAAACCTGTTAAGTTCGCAATTGGAGTCTCAGTTAGACCCGATATTTGCGGCTTTATTAGTTCCGAAGTCTCCGCTGCGAGGCGCCATCATCTGAAAAAGAGACTTTGTGAAAATTTCAAAACTCTGAAACTGATGCCATTAAGTAAGTTGATCGTGTATGTAATAATGTATCATTGATGTTACAATCTTAACGATAACTTATTAAAAAGAAACGGCATACGTTGTATTTGAAATTAATTCTACTCAAAAGTAGTTCGCCGCGTGGTAAAAAGTGACATCTTTTCTGACGTTACACATTGTCACGATTATAACGTTGTTACTACGACATAACGTTGTTACTCGTACATACGATTGTATAACATTTTGACGTCCACATGTAGAATTTTATACGACAGTTAAACAATTAAACAATCACAGTTAAACAATCACAGTTAAACAATCGAGATATACACAGTTAAACAATCGAGATATTGGCGGCAAGACTGTGAACACAGGTACTCATAAATCGTTGAAACGTAAACACTCTTGTCTTATATCAGCTCTTGATTTATTTTGGTTTAGTTTAGTTAGGTTTTAGACTTCACCTGATTATCTCGCATGATTAGGCATAAAATATCACACAGTTGTCGAGTTTTATGAGAGTTTTATGAGACTCTCCGAACAGAACAATGTTCGTAAATTTTATATTGATCAATACAAAGTCGAGTCTTTGTACGCAACAGATATTTTTGAACATTCGACATTCATCAAGAATATAATCCGTTGAAGAATAAAATTATGTTGAGGAACAAAATGTCCTGCAATTTGAAACTGTAATTTATATAGCCATAATAACATCCCTTCTAATAACGTCGAAAGAAAGAAAATACTCACCTTGATTTGAGAAATATTCTAAAAAGGAAAATCTCCCTTTTGTTCCGACGATAAATAAGTAGCTACATAATAAACGTGAAGAAATACCGTAGTTAAAAGGTAACTTAAATATTAAATTTAAAACAGCTGCTTCTTGATTATTTCTACAATTCTACAATATTCTACAATATCGATCGCGGGTGAGCAAAAAGTCATTAAACGTAAAACGTGATTCAAATGATCTTTAATGGTGTAAACGTAACATTCTTCAGTAAGTAATTTCAGTATCAGAGAGCACTCGGGATAATAAAGAATGAATACGACGAGCCCAAAATAACGAGGATCACGCGTGGTTACTGAACCGCAGAGAAACCTAAATATGTACGAGCTATTGTTAATCACCGAGTTCACTAATTGACGTCCTGATCACAAACCGCTTGGGTAAGAGAGAGCCTACATAGAGAATATACATTTATTATTGACATGGTACAATTCCTTAGAAAATATAATAATTGTAATTTCGGACACACACGTCATCCAAATGCGCGCGTGTAAGGATGCGGAGATACACGCAACATATAATATATTTATACACACACACACACACACACACATACACACACACACATGAACATGATCATTAACGAGTTACAGGCTCACTTAGGGACACGCGTGGTTTTCCTAAATTCTATCTAAGCCGCTAAATGATCCGTAAGGATCTGTATCTACATACGTTTACCTGCGACTGACTTAAAGGTGCGCCCGCTTCGCGCTCGTGATCGGAGCGCGCTAATTGACAGTAGGAAATTAAGGGCATTCGCGAGAAATAACGCGAGTCCAGTGACGTCGCACGTAACTGGCGGTGCTGTGTAGCGAGATAGACATTGCAGCGAGTACGCCATACGAATCGTGCGTACCGCGATTCTTCTCCCCGTGGCTTTTTGCACACGCATGACGACGCGTTTTGTCGTGGCGCGCGTCATTAAATCGACTGCGTCTTGCACATTTCGATACTTGGAAAGAACGAGACGCCTGCGTTCCTTCGTGTCTAGAAAAAGTTTGAGCAACGATACTTCTTCCGCGGTCGCGAGATTCTCGGATTCCACGAAGACTTAATCCGACGATCGCGACAAGCGAGACGATCGTCCATATCTGTGATATTCAAATTTTACGATACGCGATGGGGAGCGGAAATTCTCCTTAACGTATAGTCAGGTTGGCACGCATGCCTTAGCGTCCCTCTAATCGAGGGTTACACGACTTTCAGCCTTACATATATACGCGTAAAAATTGCGTAACCCTAAAGTTCTAATTAAGTCTAGTTGCAATTTATTCGCAATGATAAGGCATACGTGACGTGAAACGTGTGTACTAAACGCAGTTCTCTGCAAGAGAGACCAAAGATATTTTTGGGCTAAAGGTCGTTCTTCAAATATCTTCGGGCGCGTGCGAAGAAATCTGAATATCACTGCTTCATGCGATCGGAATCGTGTATATTTTCACGAAAAACATGTATCTTCGTGCAGTTTCGTTTCGTTTAAATATATTTGATTCTACACTGATCGATCGATCGAGGGATCGAGAAAGAGGCTGCTTTCTCCCCGAAAATTGTTAATGTATATCGCGTTACAGGCAAGGCGCTAACAGAACAACCGTGCTGTACTTTCTTCGGCAATGTGTTCGGCAACGTTCAGAGATTCTCTCGTTTGTGAAACAGTCGCGGGAAAAAAATTCACCCCTCGCTCTTTACCTTCTTCTTTTCTAATCCCTCCTACGCTTCGAGAACATTGTAGGAACCGATTCTTCGCTTTCTAACTTAACCATCGAGCATGAGATGATGTCCGGACCAAGCATGGAAGCTTCAAACCTTTAGTTCAACACGTGCGAGCTATTAATTTGTTACTTTGTTCTCACGACTTTATTTCTACACGGTGGCTAATTGAGACATTCACCTTACGTCTGAAGAAGAACCGCGAAGGAAGCAGCCCAATAGTCCGGTAACTAACCTCTACATCGCTATTCAGAACTCTTCCTTGTGAAACGCTCGGTCCAGACATTCTTACGTCGATGAACTTAACACACTAGGCGCGATCCGCTTCCTCCCGTTGAGAAGCGGACCGGGTTGGCGTTCCGCATCGCTCAGCGACTCCTCGGCGTGACCTCGCTTCTCCCTTGGTCCAGTCGACGCGACGGGATCCGGGGCCGATCGGAGGCTTGTTAATTTTAATAAGTGTGAATCCAGCGCTCGGCGAGGCGCTATGGCAATGCTTGCGAGAGGCGGTAGCCCCTCTTCCACGGGCGGGACGGGGGCGGGGGCTGCTCTTATATGTTAGGAATTATATAAATACACTAAGGAGAGTCCTAGGATTCACGAATTACCAAAATCAACGCTATCGGAGGAAACGTGTACGTCACACCGTCGCGTCGCTTCCCTCCCTCCCTCCCTCCCTCCCTCTCAGTCCCTCTCATCAGGAACGGTTCTGGCACTTCCGGTTGCGCACGTCGTGCCGGCAGCTTTGCGTCTCTTCGTCGAACGCCGTGCCCTCTTCGCACACGAACCGGAAGTCCAGCACTTGCCGCTTCGTGAAGCCCGGCGAGCAGTAATGGAACAACCGGCAGTCCCTGGTGTCGCCGTAGAAGCGATACATCTCCTTCTCCAGGCAGTTGAAACTTGCGTGATTCCGTGGAGGACTCACGGGCTTCCGCTTGCTCGGCCGGAAAGCCGTCGACTCCGTCGTCGCGTCGGAATAGGCGTGCTCTTCAGCTTTGAAGAGGACGGTCGTCGAGAGTGAGGCTGAAGTCGTCGGATGTTCGCTGCGGTCCGGCTGTGTCTCGGTGACAACATCCTGTTGGTAAGTTTTCGTGGAGGCTGCCATGGTGGCGGCTTCAGTGTCCTCCGAATACATCTCGGTATTTGCTTCGATGTATTCAGACCTTTCGGAAGGAAGCGTCGTCGGCAAGATGGACGTCGTGAGGATGTCGTAGCTCTCCGTAGTTTCATGTAGCTTGCTCTCTGCTTCCTTCGCTGTCTGCTCGGTGGAGGTCGTCAAGGTGGCCAGTCTGGTTAAAGGATACGGAGTGAAGGACTGGATCTCCTTGACGGGGATGTGCAAGTCTGGGTCTCTCGAAGAGTTGACGGGGGAATCCTGCTCGGATGGGCTAGGAAATTGGTCCTCCTTGTTAGCGTCTCTCTTCGGGGAGAGATCGAGAGATAAAGGCTCGTGGTCCCTGGCTTCCAACTTGCTCTCGAGCACGTTCTCTTCGCTCTTACTGGACTCCGTCGTTGTGGTCGTCGTAGTCGTGGTCGCAGTCGTCATCGATGTTTTCGGTGCCGTCATCATCGTCGTCGTAGTTGCAGATTCCGTCGTGGTATCTTGATTCTCCGGGTTTATCTTGTCCATGATCGTGGTAGCTACGGTGCTGGTGCTGGTGCTGGTGGTGGTAGTAGTGGATTTACGCGATAACAGAGGTAGCTTTCTGATGACCGGCTTCGGTGCCAGCTCATTGTAGGATTTGGGTGGCTTCGCCGGTTTCGGGTTATACAGACCTAGTCTGGGTTTGATCACAACCGGCACGGGGGTTGTCGTGGGGGGAACGTAAGCGTAAGTCCTCCTGCCGGAGACAGGCTTGAAGAGTTTCGGCGGTGTAGGACGAAGAGTAGTAATTGTCTGTCGGGGTGTAGTCGCACTCGTAGTGCTCGTTGCGATCGTGGGCGTCGTCATGGTTGTTGATTCCGTTACAGGTGTCGTCGTAGATGATGTTGTGGATGATACTGTCGTAGATACTGTCGTAGATACTGCTGCCGTAGATGCTGCCGTAGATGCTGTCGTAGATGCTGCCGTAGATGCTGTCGTAGATGGCGTTGTAGATGGCGTCGTAGAAGCTGTCGTGGGTGACGTCGTAGGCACCGTCGTTGTAGACGTCGTTGTAGACGCCGTCGTAGATGTCATTGGGATAGACGTTGCTGCGGCGGTGGATGAAGTCGTAGTCGGATTTGCAGTTTCCTTGAGACCCATTACTTCTGTGACAGCCTCTATATGCTCCGCCTGGGTCTCCGCTTCGACGCTGTCGTCCACCTCGCGATCGGGATTTTTTTCAGTCGCGTTCTCCATTTCTTGATTCTTCTCTTCCTTCTCTTGATTCTTCTCCTTGTTATAGTCACCTAACTGAATATTGAATATCAGCTGCTTGTAATCCTCGCGCTCGTAATTATCGTCGACGTAATCGTAGGCGTTGAATTCCTGATCGTTCACCTTCGTGAGAGATTCGTCGCTCACAGCTTCTTGCTCATTGGAGGGAGACTCCCCGACTGGCGGACTTTCTGTCTCCCGCTCGTAATTATCGTCGACGTAATCGTACGCGTTGAACTCGTAGGGCTTCGACTCCATCGACGGCTCTTTGGTGTTCTCCGTGTGCTCCAATCTGGGCAGCTCATCCGTGAATTTCAGGACACCCTCGGTGCTGCTTTCAGTCGAGTCCACGACGTCTTCTCGGGGATCAGTGTACTCATCGAAGCTTGTGTAGTCCGCTGGCACGGTGGAGTACTCGGTACTCCCCGGTTCCTCGTAATCCTCCTGGGTGCTGACGTCATGCGTGTTTTTCGCAGACGCATCCGTCGTGTCCTGGTACTCGTTTGACTCCTCGTCAGAAATGGACTCTTTCAAGCGTATCTTCATCGTTGTGGAGTCCTCCTCTTCTTCCAGATCGTCCTTCGGAGTGCTTGGCTTCTCGCTTTCCTCGTCCTCCTCCTGACGGGATGATTCCTCTTGATGGAAGGTGTTCTCGCTGGAGACCACAGCTTCCTGGGAGAAGGATATCTTGTTCGGCACTTCTTCCAGATTTTCCTCGGACTCCTGGTCGTTCACCTTTGCGACAGATTCCTCGCTTATAGTCTCGTGTTCGCTGAAAGGAGACTCCTCGACGAACGATTCTGTCTCTTCGGGAGCGTCTGCGACTTCCGTCAATCCTGTCTCGGCGCTTCGCGGCGGATCCTCTGCGCCTCCTGAATCCTCGGTGAAGTTTGTATCTTCCGAGCTGGTGTTCTGCGTGTAATCTGTTTCTGGTGCTTCCGTTTCTGGCTCTTCTTCGAGCTTGTCGACATGTTGTACTCGATCCTCACTGTAGTCCTCCGTGATTTGGCGATCGAACGGTCGTTCCATCTCCTCGCTCTTGCTCACGTCATGGCTTTTGCTATCCAGCGAGCTCTTCGAGTACGTCGCAGAGTGCTGGCCGACCGCTCGTGTGTCCACCTCTTTGGAAGTTTGCGACTCCAATTCCTGGAAAATGTGGCTGTCGATCCGTTCGACAACTTGTGCCTCGAGAGGCGTGATGGGCGGAGGTGTGGTGGTAGTCGTAGTGGTGGTGGTGCTACTGGTGGTAGTTGTACTAGTCGTCGTCGTCGTCGTCGTCGTCGTCGTCGTCAACGTTGTCGTCGTTTCATCCGCTTCTTCCTTCCGTCGGATTTCCTCCTCCGCGTCGACGCGCACCGGCCTTTGCTGCTTCACTCTCGAGGATATGCGTCTCTTCGAGGACCTCGGTCGCGTAGCCTTCCTCCTCGAACTGAACTTTCGTTCTCCGGTTTCCGGTTGACTCCCCTCCGCGTTGGTCACTGAAGCGCTCGGCTGCTTCGGCGATTCGGCCTTCGTTGCGTATTCCGCGACTTGCCCGTTCTGTGTGGTTTTCTCGGTGGTTTTCTGCAGATCCTGCGAGCGGGATTTCGTCTCCTCCTCAATGATGATCTCGATGGGCCCATCACCCGTGGAAGTTTTCACGATATCGTCGGAACTCGAAGACGAGGATTTTGTTTTGTCATCATCGAGGATTATCACGTCTATGACATCTTGTTGAGGCTTGTTCCCCTCGGAAGGAGCAGTTGTTGACGAAGGCTGATCATTAACTTCAGGTATTGATATAACTTCCACTTTCAGCGCGCCTTTTTTCTCGCCGATTATCTCTTCGGTATTTGTTTCATCGTTCGGATCTTCGTCGCTCGTCTCGACGTCTTCTTCCTCGTCCGAGTCTTCCTCTTCGTTCAGGTCTAAATGCTTCGCAGCTTCCGTCTTCAGGTCCTCCAGAGACGCCGGCCTTCTTATCGCGTTATCTTTCGGCTGCTTCGTAAATTTCACGTCGAGACTGTCGCCGTCTTCGTTCCCGACGTCGTCAGCCTCGCCTTCAATCTCCCTGGCGACGTCGCTGTAAGAATCCACACTGTCCACTTCGTCGCTGAACAGGATATCCCTGAATCTCATGAGACTCTCTTTAATAGCCCGGAAATCCCCGATATCGATCTCGGCGCGTGTCCTTGCCTCGTTCGCCGCGTTATCTGCATCCCGACGGGAAGACTCGTCCTCCTTCGAGTCGTTCTCTCGGCGACTGTTCGCATCATAAATGAAGCGATAAGCTTGATCAAGTGATCGCCTCTTCCTCTTCCCTTTTCTCCGTCTGCTCTTCGTTCTCACATCGTCGTCTTCGTTTTTCAGGGCTCGACGATTCTTGCGAATCTTCGGCACGTCGCGGTAAAAAGGATCGAAGGACTCGTCGCCCTCCTTGTAGTCGTCGTAGCTCGCCGGTATGGTCGGCAACGGCAGCGTCACCAGCTGCGTGGTGTTGAGAGGCCTGCCGGACTCGTCGCTCACGCTGGCTTTCGCAGTGACGATCACCCTCGACTGCGAGGGCAAAAGAGGTGATGGGTTCTGTACGATTCTTTGGATGTCGGGCGGCGGCAGGTTAATGGTGATCTGATGTGGCTTCAGCTGCGGTATCGTCACGCTTGGCGACACGTGGATATGCTGGGTGACTTGCTGAGTAACCGAGTGCGACTGCGACTGCGAGGACTTGGCCGAAGGTCGTGGCGTCGGGTAGAAGGACCTCACGGTAGTCTCGATGGTGGTCGGAGTTGGTAGGAAGTTGTTGGGTATTCTCTGCTGCTGCGACCCTTGACCCGTCTTCGTCTGCACGGGTCGAGACGACTCCTGCTGACTCGGGATCGGTGATATCGACAGCTTGGAAAGCTGAAATAGGAAGATTCCCAATGTCACTCGTTGTTCCTTTCTCAAGGAATATACAGCGGCCCTAATATTCATTTGAATTGCTTGGGAACTTAACTGATGGTTGAATTAACAAAGATACAATAGATAAATATGTGACGCCAGGTTCGTATATCTTTTATTTCGTTCCATTGACTTTTTATTGCCAACGCGTGCCAACGTTGTTGGCACGATGTTTGAGACGCAGCTAAAAATTAGAAAATTAAAAATCTGTCGCAATCCAATCAAATTTTGATTGATTTCAAAATCAAAATGTTTTCCACCGCTTGTTGCGCGAAACCTTTTCCCATCCTTCCGCCAATAAATGAATTCCACGGTAGAACACATTTTCTTTTCTAATTCTCGAATTGCAAGTGAAAAATTTTTCAAGTAGTTTATCAAGTGTTACGTTATGTCGTTGTAAGATAAATTAGATTGTGTTGTTCTAAATAAATTAGATGCAAGTGAATCTTAATTGAGCAATTTTAATTAAGTTCAATCGGATTTAAAGTTAAATGCAACTTAGACTTTGGTGTTTTACTATTTTATATGGTACCGTCCATATGGTACATCAGCGCAGGCAATTATTCTAAAAATTGTCAAGTGCTGCACGCGGCAGGATAATCGCGGCGCGCATACACACCTTCCCCTTGTTCGTCGGCTGTATCGCCTCCAACGGCCTCTGCTCCTGATCGTCGTCGTCGCGATAGTCGGAGGTCTCGCGCGGATTGTTGCTGTGCACGGTGAACTGTTCGGTGGTGCTGGCGATGCCGTGATTGTGAAAGATAGGGTTGATCAAGGCCGGGCTGTTGGCGTTGCTGTTGAGTAGCGTCTGGATCGTCGAGGAGGTGGCGTGGAACAGCGGCGTCACGGTCGACGGCTCGTTGTGAATGATCTGCGGGCCCACCGTCGAGCTGAACCTGATCTGGTGGATTTGCGGCGGTGGCGGTGGCGGCTGGACGGTCGTCGAGCTGACACCCTGATTGCTGAACAATTGATAGGACGTCGCCTGATTGTTGCGCTCGCGTTCGCCGCTGTGGAAGATGTACTGGTGGTGGTAGCCGCCGTTCTTGTCGTCGTACAGCGACTTGGACTGGCTCGTGTGGATCTGCGGGAACGGCGGCTGCGGCTGATAGTGTTGCGGATAACCGGTCGGGTGCTGGAAAGAGCCGCTGGCGGCCGTGGTGGACGGCTTGATCGGCCGCGACGTGGTCGTGCTGGTCGTGGAGGTCGTGCTGGGCCGCGCCGAGGTCGTTCGCGGTTGATGATCCTCCACCGGATCCGACAGGTCGTCCTCGTCGTCGTTCTCGTGCAAACTGCAGCCGGGAACAAGAGAATGCTCGAATGGTGGTACGGATTAAGCCGAGTAATTGATTAGCGTTGCAACATTATTCGCTAATGTTGCAACGGGGAACACGCAAGCGTGCCTCCGCGTCTCTCTGCTATTGCGTTTTGGCACGAATGGCGCGCTTTGCGAAATCGGACACACCGGTCGAAACGATTAGGAGATCGCACCGAACGAACAGCTCCGATCGGCCCGCCCGTTCGAGTTGCAATTTCTCCGGCCGGGTCTCGCTCGGGAATCGCCTCAGAATTGTTATGAGGTATCGCATACAACAGATTGCCTCTCAGGTACGTCTGATATCTTGGAAAGTTGATCTTTGAGGTCAATTCGGCGGTAGAATTTAGGTGGCACATTTTGCTGTCTATACGCCAATGGACGGAATACAATTTTCTAGCAGATTTTTCGTCATTTCTTAATTACCTGCCAAACGGTATTCTCTCTCTCTCTCTCTCTCTCTCTCTCTCTCTCTCTCTCTCTCTCTCTCTCTCTCTCCCTGTCTCTGTCTCTGTCTCTGTCTCTGTCTCTGTCTCTGTCTCTGTCTCTGTCTCTGTCTCTGTCTCTGTCTCTGTCTCTGTCTCTGTCTCTGTCTCTGTCTCTGTCTCTGTCTCTCTCTCTCTCTCTCTGTCTCTGTCTCTGTCTCTCTCTCTCTCTCTGTCTCTCTCTCTCTTGGTAGATTTTGACGTGGCCGTTAGTTCATATTTACGTTTCAGTATTTTAAACCCTGTTTCTACGTCATTGGCTTTTCAAGATATCACGGAGGTCTCGAATATTTTAACGCGACGTAGGCCGCGATTCGTTATGAATGATCAAAAAGGAAATCGTCCTCGTGTTCATACCGGCCGCCGTGCCGGGTGTCAGGAGGGCAGAAACGCATTCCTGAACCGGTGGGAGCGCATTTCGTTGCATGCGACCTCGAGATAACCGCTTCCACCAGTTAACAACCGTTAATCAACGGAGTGTCGAGCGTACGGACGGATGATGATAACGACGTTAGCTCCGTACAAGGAGCAAGACAGGCAGACAGGTAGGCGGGCAGGGCAAAACGAGCCGGTGCAAATGAAATTTATCGGCCGAGTCGGCCAAAAATAGAAAAGTCATCGATGACTAAACTGCGCGCGCGCGCGTCGTTGCACGATAAATTCCATCGACGTGACAGTTAATCGTTACAATTTTTATCTGCATGCTGCACTCCCTCAGCCGGAGGGCAAAAGCGGGCCGCGGAGGGGGAAGTCGGCATTCCTCGAGTGCCGGCGAGCAAAGGAAAGCTACTAAAATATTTATGGATGCCAGAGTGTGTGCATGCCTTTTACAGCCGGCTACTTCACCGTCATGTGTCCCCGGTACCGCGAGATAGTCGCGCGCGTGCGCGCACGTGTCGCGCGAGTCCGCGGCTGCACACCTGAATCTGAAATATGCGGCTCCCTTGATAATCGGGTCGGAGCGAGGCTCCGGTGTTATCGCCGCGTCGCGTTACACGACTCGTACTTCCATTCCGTGTTTTCGTCGGTATCTCGGGACCGGTATGCCGTCCGAACGAGATGTAGCGAACGGCCAGTTTAAAAATCTCTCTCTCTCTGCCCCCGGCTCCTTCCCGCCCCCGGCAGAGAAATGTAAACGGGAACCTGCGTGGACCTCACGGCGTAACGCCGGTCGTCTCGCAACGAACGAGCTTAGAATTTTAGTGGTCAGTTTTACGATCGAAAATGCACGCTTCCTCGAGAAGAATATTTCTCCTCGATATTCGATAACTGGAATCTGGAATTACAATTCGGAAGAATTTGTACGCGTTCCATCGGTGTTTTTCTTTTTTTTTCTTTTTTTTCAATTCAAATGAGCGGTAAAGTCTCAATATTTTATCTTAATCTTAGTCTTTTGCTACTAATTTACATGACGGGAACTTTTATGTAACGTACCGGTGTTTCAAATATTCCTCCGCAAAATTCGATTGCCGATTCACGTCAGCAAGTCGTAAGAAAAAGAATCTTCGAAACATGAAACGAAAAAACAAAAAATAAATAATTGAAATAATTAAAATTATGAATGAAATAGATTATTGGACAAGTTATGGGATAAATAAGCAGGCATTGAAAGATGCCTTTTGTAACCTTTTGTAAGTATAGCCTGGTGTAGTTTATAGAAAATTAAAAAAAAATGAAAAAAACATCGCGACGGCTCATGGAGTAATGACTTGTTGAGCAACGATAATGATTTAATTCTCGAGATAAGTTCGGGAGAAAAGTCTATTTCTGCGCGAATCGACGATCTAAATTATATCGAAGGAAAGGCGTTCGATGTGTCTTTGGTCCTTACGAAACGGTTCGGGGTGAACGTGCAGGTCTGCTGCGAGCAACTGCGGCATTAGTAAATGTGTGACCGGTGATTCGTACCAATTGAGGTGTGTAGCAACTTATTCCACTTGTTAGCCGGTTTCTGTTCGCGGTGACTCGCGCACAACGCGAAACCGGAAAATGTATTAGGAACTGGCTCGCGCCACGCACCACCGGCGCTAACAAAATTTTTAGACTCGCACTGTCATTAACGGAACCTTTCCGGCTACTCGTTATTGTGTAATAATTTTTAATTTCTTCCGCATTTTATCACGACTGATCGTTTTATCGTCAAGCGATTGTTTCCTAGTATTGATAGTAAATAACGTGTAATTTGTGACATTACGACCGTTATACAGATTATTTATCTTCAATAATGAACCAGTAATGTTCTTATTAAGATAAGAAACGAGAATTTTCTTCATTTCTTTACTTTCGATTTTTATTCTTCTTTTTCCCTTTTTTTATCACCAAGTTCGGACGATTTTTTCTCTCTCGACTTGCTGCTGAAGAAATTTTATTTCTTTCATGAAGAAAGTTTCTTTATAAAAGAAATCTTTCCCTCTCCTTCTGTTCCATTCTCTCTCATTTTCTTGAGCAACAACAAAGCTAACGGGATATTCCGCAAGATAAATAAATAAGTAACGATAAAGATAACGAGTTATACCCCAAGATATACAACGCTTTTGTAAAAAAAAACAACTTTCCCAACTCTGTTATCTTCTTTATCATTTTCTCTCGTGCGAGATATCACATCGAGGCACAAAATGTGGAATTACCTGAGAGTCACCGCATTATTGCCGTAGAGCTCCAGATTCAGATTGTAGAATCGCTCGCTCTTGCTGCAGTCGACCTCGTCCACCCTCTCGCAGACCCTGGTCTCCTGGTCGAAGACGGTCCCGTTCAGGCAGAGGAACTTTATGTCCATAATCTCGTCTGAAAGCAAGTCTCACGGTGAAGAACAGGATCATTATTCGGGGATGCTCTGGACTGGTGGGATGTGCTTGTTGTTGGAATCTCATTGAGATTCCGTGCGGTGCGTTTACGACTTTGCCGATTCCACTCTACTAACTTAATTCAAACGTCGATATCGTCGACATGTAATCGCCTGGACAAACCATTCCTCGAGTTCCGTCCCAAGGAACCAGAAATCTCTTCGAAATCGACTCTTCGTCTGCAAGTTACCCGTATCTCTCTGCCGCAAAGTCAGCAATTTACGCCCGTGCAGGAACATTCTATACGCGTATCTCAAGAATTCGCGCTCCGTTCTGCAGAATCCCGAGAAGAAAGAGAAGAAACAAGTAAAACGAAACCACGAGCCTGGTGTTGATTTCGATCCAGCTTGTAGGAGCTACTTCACGTCGGCAATTATGCAAATCGTTTTATATGTCAAATGTCCGTATGCTGTCACGAGAGATCAAAGTCCGGCCGCTTTGAAACTCCAGGCCGGCGAATCGATGATTTGCCAGACGCAGAGCTGGTACGGCGAGAAATCAGGCGCGATATATCGAATCCGCGTTTCAGATCGGCATATGCACATACGGCGATAAGTAGATCGTTTCGAAAGGCCCCCCTCTCCCCCCTCCCCCCCCCCCCGCCATCCGGCCGAAGGCCCCATCGAGGTTTTGTAATCGATCGAGAGATCGCTCTCGGCGAGAATGTCACGGTCGTCGAGGAACGTTTACTGACCTAAGTCGAGAGTCTGGCTGGCTCTCTGCCGGCTCTCTCTGTCACGAGAGAAGCGGCCGATTTACTCGTCCGATCGTGCACTCTCGACGCGCGCGAATCCGACCATGAGAATTTAATTTGTTTAAGGGAACTCTCTCGTGAGCGCTCGCGCGCCCGCGAGTAATATTCTCGCCCCGAGAAAAATCGCAGCGCGAAATCGCGCAACCCGATCACGCATTGCTCAATCATCTCGGCCGCCTTTTGCGACTTTTCTCGACTCGGTCTTTTGACTTAAATAAATAAATAATCTCGTCACTGTCTCGAAATTGTCCCATGAAGCGGAATACGTGTGCTCGGTGTTCCATGATTCGTGTTTCTGCGTTTTCAGTGCGATCGGCCTCGCGAAGAGCAGTCTTCGAAGCGTTTCTTAGATATCTGCCGTTACGGCTTTGTGAGGGTGCGACGGTGATTTGAGAAGCATCTCTGCGTGTTTTGTACTTGGGGATCCCCGCCTTCATAATGCAGAACTACCTTTCTGACCGATGGTGCAGACGTGAAACATTTGACAGCCCGCCTCGACGTCCGCGTAGTAACCGCCAATCACCTTCCCCTGACACGAGAAATTCGTCTCCGGCAGGTTGTCGAAGTCCAGATACTTGAGATATCGAGAACATCAAAGTCGAGGAGAAAATACAATGAGAGGAAGAAAAGATGTAAAAGTTAAAAAAAATATTCGATTGATACTAACAACATAGGTATAGATACGAGTTGTTGCAAATATTTAACTAATTAATATGATACAACTGAAAAATTTAATTACTTGTTGCAGTTACATGTAGTCAACTTTTCAAGTTAACTAAACATTCCTGTCGTAATTTCAAGACCTTCTTCGGCGAGAGAAAAGAAACAAATTCACACTGCACAGAAAATCAATCGATCGATATTCGCGAAATGAAAGCTAATCAAAGCTATCAACATGTATGATAAATATAATGCCAATTACATAAGTGACGAAAGAAGAAATGTTTGTCTCTTTTTTCTCGCTTTTTTTTTAACAATTCTTAAACACTTACGCCAGGTTCCCCCGCGCTGCATAATAATAAACGGCCATGATGAAAGTTGAGGATCGACAATAAAACTGAAAAACAAAAGAAAGAAGGAGAATTGAGGACACTGAGGACGTGCGATTGACTGAATTCTCGGTGTTCTTAAAATTTCGCAAACGGTGCGCTACAAATCCTCCCCTATATCACATCTTTTCCGTGGGTGTGACATTCGACTTTCGCTCCCGACAATTTTCCCCGCTGTATTTTCCGCGTAAACGCTCAGGTTCACGCGCGCTAAACCATTATATAGTGGCACGTATACATCGACACACATCGCCGCGATAACAGAAGTATTATTTTCCGCCAAAAGGCAAGGAAAATCCAGCCCCGCCGTCGCGTTCAGCGCGGCTCAGCCGCAATTTACGGAGGTAATTTATACGGTTGCGCAATCACGCGGACCCGAGGTCCACGGTGGACCTCGTTGCACCAGTTGCAGCTATAATTATGCACAACTATCGTCACGCACCGACGATAGGTTAATGCACTAGAATGTTCGAGAAATTCGAGTTTGTAATTCTGATCTACCGTCGTTATGCCCATAACGTAACCGTGTAACGTTACATAATTGCAATGGAGTCGGATAAAAATTCAAATTAAGTCAAGAAAGCAAAAAGGGGCGTTCAATTTGTGCTAATTAGATGGAGACTCGATCAAATTCAGGTTCAGGTATTCTCACATGAACAATTTCTCGGAGAAATATTTAATTAGGAACCAGTCCAAGTTCTTGAAATAATTATGGATTCTGATTCTGGGAAATCTATGTAAAATCACGTTAGCAGTATAATATTTCAACGATGCGAATTCAAATGAGTAACCTAAATTGATCCCATTTGCTCTTCTTAATGTGTTAAATAACATTTACACACACTCTCTCTCTCTCTCTCTCTCTCTCTCTCTCTCTCTCTCTCTCTGTTTCTCTTCAAATATACATATATTTTAATTTTTAACTTATATTAGATTAAAAATTAGAGAAACAAAGTAAAATATCAAGTACTTACACTTTTCTAATATAAATATATAAACATTTCGCAACGGAATTTGAAGAGATTCTTTTATTTCTAGAAAAACATATTTAAGTGATCAGGATTTCTATTCGCAGACATTAACTTGTGATAATATCAATTTACATTCGCGTATTTACAATAATCTGTATGCAGAAAATAAAGATGACAATAAATATGAATATAAAAGTAGAAATGGAAACAAAAATGAAAACAGAAGTAAAAATGGGAGTGGAAATGACAATGTAAATTCCTATATACGACATGTAAAATTCGCGATAGACAGAATTCCCTCTCGAATTCTGCCTGTCGCCAAGCATAGAGCGACCTTTGGCGGGGAGAAAAATATCGCTTTCAGTAGAATGAGGTGTTATAAGAAATGACGTACAGCAGTTGATATATTCCGCGCGGTTACAAGTGGATGTGTAATTTCGTTACGTGACAAAGACACCGTTTCGCGAAAAATAGGAAGATACAGTGTAATGAAAGGTAATAAGGTACTGGAGTAGGCAACTTTCACCTCGCTTATCTAACACGAGCCAGACAGGTGTTAATTGTTACCGTCAGATTAAATTATATTCGTCCCACTAGCTTGGTGCGCCGTAGTCCATTACGGTTTGCTAATAAACCTTTAGATATTCAAATCACGGTATTCGCGCTTCTTGTCGATAAAGATTTACGTAATGCCGCCGTAACTGTTTCCCGTCGCAACACTTTGTCAATGATGATTCGGATCGGATTGTTTTGATACTCGCGAGTCGCAATTTGGTGCAAATATTTTACACGTCTCAACGCAATTGGATTTAACTAATTTGACCGAATTACAAAAGCGTTTATAATTCGGCGCCATCGCTTCGAGGTAAATCTCGCGGAGAAAGATCCCAGTAAAGAATTCGAAACGCCCCAAGGAAGCTAATCCGGAAATTTCGCCGAAATCTCCGAAACAACGTCTACGCTTTTCGTAACATCGCTAACGATCGACGCGTGGCGCAACGGAGCGCGCTTTCGGCGCTCGTTTTTCATCGATTCGCCGGTCTGACCATGAAGAACGCGCTACCTCGCACGAAATCGCACCTGCTTCGCATACCGATCGCGTTCGTGCGAGCGTGGACAATGGACCGCGATAACTTCATAGCAGTTTCTGTAAAACTGGTCGATGTTCAATATATCGAGACTCAGCGACTCGCGAGCGACTTTTAATTCGAATGCACCGAGACGAGGAGGGCCTTTCACCGAAGTCGCGCTTGTGTGAACGCGTGCGTGAAATATTCCGCGTGTTTCAGTACGCGCGAGCGAGCGTGATTGCTCGTCGTAAAAGAATAAAGGAACACGCTCGATCCCAATGTATAATTATATAATTTGAGCGAGAAGATGGAGGTGCGCGCGAGGACATCGGAGCGATGATGTAAGTCAACAGCGTGAAACAAAACAAAAAGAAAAAAAAAAAAAGAGTACTACAAGCAATGGATACGCCCGACTCGCGAATCTTTCGCCAATTATTTTTTACATATGCTGACCTTTTGCATTCGGAAAGGCCTGGCCGCGACGACGACGTCGTCGTGTGACGTTAGTCTCTCGTCAATTTCACCGCGGGCGACGTCGTTAATAACGCTACTCATAGCTTTCTCGAGGTGAAAGAATATGCCCACGTTCTCGATAATTTCGTGTGAATCATAACAATGAATTCGCGGAGTTATCGCTCCCCTACGGTTAATACGTTCCATTTGTCCGCGTACTAATATCGGTCTAGTTGTAAACTAAAACTGGCTTTGTAACTCGCGGCAAAAAATTCCACAGACAGATTTCGATCCGTAATTTGACATATCGGATTATTATTTTCGCTTCAGTCGAACGATTCGTCGGAATGATATATTTCATATATTTCGCGGATGAATCCGCGAGACAGAATTTTATGCACTGTCCGATATAGAAGAGACTTGAGGATTTACTCGCATCTGTATGAGTCAGGACTTCTGCAAACGCTCTCTCACAAACAGAACTCTGTCGCTGCTTATAACTCACTCGCGAGGCGGGCTTTAGACGAATGTCTGTGTAGCTTCTCGGCCGCGGGAAAGTCTTTTCTCCTGCTTACTATGCAACTTGAAGATGCGCGCTGAAGATCTCGCATTTAAACCTTCATCGAGTACGTGTAAGGTGTTCATGAACTTGAGGAACAATATCGCACTGAGACTGGAACAACGCACATGTGCACAATCGCGAGATTGGGGAGATTGAGAGCAAGACAGTGCTATATCTAGATCGATCCGCGCGAGCGCGTCCAGTGCGAGAAGCTGAAAAGGGAAAGGAGGAAGAAATGGAAAGTGCGATCGCGCACGTGTCCAGGAGATTCCACGGTAGAAACCGAAATTTCATAAATAATTCCTCGGGCATACCACGCTCGGCCGACTGTGACGGAGAGTTCCTTGGAGCACTTTGGCGCACATCCCGGCTTCTCCACTGTAACAGCCGTTGATCGGCCGTCCACGAACTCCTCTCTGCCTTCATTGACCGCGCACGACTCGGTATTCCATTCTTGCTGCGCGCCGCGAGCAACATCACGATTTTTTCTTTACCGAACGACCCGAACGTCGGAGATCCGATTATCCTCGTGTAAGCGAGTGTTTCGCAGCCTCGCTCAATGAAACGATATGCAGACTGGCATGATGTTAATAATAATAATAATAATAATAATAACCCAAAAAAAAAAGAAATCGAAATAGTGCGAGAGAGAACCAAGATTAATTTAATCGTGACAAATTCGAGCGAGGGAATCTGTATACCAGCAAATATATGTTTGGATCTTACGATTGGATTTTTTTTATTCGCTGGAATTTATTATTAGATTGATTTTAGTTCAGCGTATCGTGGCGACACGAAGCGACGCACAATGGGGCCCAGATGACATTTTTTAGTTGAAAATTCTTTAGAGACCTGAATCTCCAACCGATCATCGACACCAATGGATGAGGTTGATCTTGAATAAATTTCAAAGAGATCTGCCTAGCCGAAATTTTGAAAAAATTATCGGTTCAGGGTTCATGGCTTTAGGGTTTGTCTTAAAAGTTTATCGTTTAAAGTACAGTGTCTTGGGTTCGACCTCAATGGGTTCGAGCCTATGGATACTAAATGCGAGACCCCAGAACTTATAATCACCTTTTGGAAAACTCAGAATTTCAAAGCTCATCATTTCAGCCCACATTAAGAAAGAATTAGGGATTAAAGTTTTCCCTCGGTTTTGTGCTTAACGGGTCTGCATTTGATGTTTTTGTATTTTGGGCATATGAGTTTTGGGTCAATGGATTTCTGGTTCAAGATCGATCAATCCCGAGGTGTCTGTTGATTGGTTTCATAGTTTCAATCCTCTGAATACGTTATTAGATAGAAATAAGTGTCGAATAATGAGTATTTCACAAGTTTCTCGCGTTCAACGATAATTTTTCCTCTCTTGGGGCTAGTAATTCGAGAAAAAAAATGTTTCTTTCAATTTTGGCAAGACAGATCTCTTCGATATTTATCCAACCTCATCCACTGCTATCGATGATCGGTTGGAAATTCAGGAATCTCTAGAGAATTTTCAACCAAAAAGTGTCATCTGGCCCCACTGTGCGACCCACGTCGCGTTCATTAACAGCAGCCCGGCACACGGCAGCAGTCAATCCGGCCTTCGTTTACCGCAATTTTCGCACCCCGGACTGCCGCCGCTGCGCCAAACGGTCATCACCCTCCTCCTCCTCCTCCTGTCGTCACAGCAGGTATGCACCGGCGATACTGCATAGAGGCATGACCGAAGAAGCGCCGCCGGAGTGATATAACCCCTCGCGCGCGTAATAGCTGTGTGAATCTTGTGACATTTAAATCCGCCAGCCTGGCCGGCCGCGCTCGACACGTTGCTCGTCTCCGTCGGGACGCGACTTCTGACAGTCTCCGGCGATTTCGTCGATAAATCTCCGGATCTCGTCCCGCGAGCGCGCGATGACGCCGGGCCGTTTGAACCGGTACGATGCGAGCGAGCGAGCGCGATTCCGAGCGCGCACGTTCCGCGCGCTGGACCGTTTCATAAGCGCGCGCGTCCGCCTACGCGCGCCGCCGGAGATGCCAGCGCAGAGATGCGGCGCGGGGTGAGATGTTATCAGTCTTCCTCCGCGAGGAAGTAATGCCATTATCGGCCGATCTGCGATTAATATATAATTGGCTAATTTATTAATTAAAGGTGATAGCGATCGCGTGCGACCGCGACGTCTCTCCAAGAGGGAGAGAGGGACGGAGAAGAGGGTTGAGAGAGAGAGAGAGAGAGAGAGAAGCGTTATTTATTGAGCGCTCTGGGACAAGTCCCCTCAAGCGCGTAGGCAGAAATTACAAAATGTAGGATATAAATTAAAATATAATATACAAGAAAAGTAGACAATTAACAACAATATGCAAAATGAGAAATTGATATAAAAACATCAAATAACAGTAAAAGGTTGAGGAAGAAGGGAAGAGAGAGAGAGGAACGAATGTTTCCGCGGTGTGAGGTAGCGAGGGAGGATCGAATGCTATTCTTTCTCGTACAATTAACGAAACAACACGAGCGATTGTTGTAGCAACATTGTGGGGAGATTTAATCGTCCGCGAGCCTGGTTGTAAACTTCGCCGGGACGAACACGCGGCCGAGCAGGCCTCCTCGGATGATTCATAATTCGCGACGCGGAGTAGAGAAAAATAGCTGTTAAGGGGACTGGAGGGTCAAATTATTGAAAAATCGTGCTTGTTTTTGATAATTTGATTTTGTGACAAACTGAATAAATGTGCAAGAATAAAAATTTTACATATATTTATATAACATATGAAGAGTAGAAAAATTTTGTTTTTAAACAAATACTCATATAAATATACGTCCGCTTAAATTTTAAACGCGCTTTTCTCGAAATTTTATTGTTCAACTTTTTGCAGTGATTTCTCCAAAACTGAGCTTCGTATCGATTTGAAATTTTAAGGGGCTTACCTAGTGTGACGGTTTGAAAAAATCGAATTTTTTTTTGCATTTTTTGACAGTTTAACATCTGTGGAATAATATCCTGAAGTGTTATGGTCGTATCTGAAATATTTTAGAAACGGCAGATATGAAACGACAGCGCAGCTGGTCGGGGGCCATAAACTCGATTCTCGCCGGCGAGGCAGGATGCCGGGCAGTTGCGGTAGTTCTTAGGCTTTGACGTAATCGTTTATACTTCAAAGATAGAAAAGAGAGCCTGGTAGTTCCAAGGACTCACAATAATCCCTTTATGTTTGTACGAAAGCGTTATTGACAGCTCAAAAGGTTTCGAAGCCGCTCGACGCAGGTATTCGTAAGCGGCCCGTTTAGTTCATTTTTAGCCACTGTGCAGAACACATCGCAGCGCGAATTTCATTCAAAATGAGTGGGAAAAGTCAATCTAGTGTTCAAAAAGGCACACACGATACTCTAGCGCGTAGAAGTACCAATAAGATAAGAATGTTCCAGGGAAATCGATACACGCTGGAGCAGTCGACCGAGTACACCAGTACGACATGATGAAATTTAAACATGACTATCTCCCTCTGGACCTACAGATTCAAGAAGTTCTAGAGCCAATTTATAGTGATTTAAGTAGGCCTGAATTATTAAACAGGTGCAAGGGTAGTAATACACAAAATAATAACGAAAGTTATAATGGTTTGTTGTGGCACTTTGCTCCTAAACACCTTCACAGTGGTTTAAAAACAATAGAACTGGCCAATTTCTTTGCTGTTGCAATTTTTAATGAAGGTTTCCAAGCTATTTTGAAAGCATTTGAAACAATGGGAGTGATTATTGGGCCCTCTGCCAAAGATTATGCAGAAAAACGAGACATGAGACGAATGATGGTTGCAGAAAAACAGCACCGCGAGGCTTCAAAGGGGGCTCGGACAGCTCGCAGGACAGCTGCAGCGGCCCAGCAACAATTTTTCGAACAAGAGGAGGGCGAATTATATGGGCCTGGAATAGCTGAATAGCTGTAAGTATGATAAATTTTCTTTTATAACAAAAAAAATCAATAGTTAAAACTTGAAACGCGTTTTTCTCGAAACAACGTTTTCGAAATTTGCTGCAGTCATAACTCGCGAACAAATTAATGAATCAACTTCAAATTTGATAGGCATACTCAGTACATGTTTTGTCATATAGTAAACTAGGATGTTTTCAATCCGTCAACAAATGTCAATTTGCCACGCAAAAAACGGGCACTTTTTTTTGCTAAGTTCGAACTTTTTCTTTTACAACACCGTAATTTTTTTAATTTTCAATATTTTTTCATAATCCTAGTTCACTGTATAGGAAAACTTATCTCGTTCAACGCCTTTTTTGTCTTTTTTTATTTCAGGCACTCTGACGTCACTTATCGCTGCAGCAGTTGGGCTACTTTTTTTTTTTACCTCCGGGAAATTACTAATATTTCCAATACATGTTAATATTTTTTCGTAATAAAATTTTTATAACTTCTTCAAATGTTACTTAATATAGCCTCAAACTTTTAAAATATATGGTAGAATAGTTTTTTTTTTAAATCCTCGAAAATCGCCCTCATTTTCATGTGGTCACACTAGGTAAGCCCCTTACCTAAAGCAATAATATTTGTTCATGTGGCTCTCAGGTGAACCATGAACAACTTTGTCAAAATATTTCGAGATATCAATTTTTTTATTGTAAAAGAACTGAAAAGTTTGAATTTTTTCTTAATAATAGCTGCCATTTTGTTAATTTTGTTCGATTCTTTTTATAGTGCTTCACCGGGTAATAATAAACCTCCTCAAGATTTCTAGTTAAAATTCGCTCTGATCGGACTACCGAGAGCCGAGATATTACTGCAAAAACGATAACTTGAAAAAGAAAAAGGAGAGTATATTTCAGCTATATATATCGTATATTTATACGAGTATTTTGTTAATAAACAAAATTTTTCTACTCTTCATATGTTGTATAAATATACGCCTAAAATTTTCACTCTCGCACATTTATTCAGTTTGTCATAAAATATGATCAAGAACAAGCACGATTTTTCAGCGATCTGATCCTCCAGTCCTCTCAATAGAATTAAGATTACGCACGTTCGCGTGTGTGCGCACTCGCACGTTCCAGCAAATCTCCAGATGCGAAATATGCTAGGCGCGTAAGTGAGATGATCGATCGATTTTCGCCACGCGACTCCTGTCGCGAATTACAGATTGCCAGAGGTTCGTCGGATAGAGTCGTCGAATCGGTCGCTGCGAGCGGAACGGCTTCGCATTGTTTCTACTGCGTGTGTAACGTCGGAGACCGCGCTGGATAAAGAGAAAGACAGCGCGAGAGGTCGTAGGTCGCAACGCGAGCAACTTAATTAATATCGACCACGGCGGATCTCGCGGTGGAGAATCGAAAGTGCGCCACGCCGGTAGGCAGCTCGAAATGAAACGCGGCTCGATTATGTATTGAGAAACGATTTCCGCGAATCGAAGCACCGCGGCAAGGGAGCTCAGGGATACTTTTGTCGGCGTATTGGCCCGATAATAATCGGCGACTCCGCGCAATAAATGACGATTATGCGCTCCGACAGACCCTTCCATTCTTTCTCTCTTACTTTCATTTCCTTCCATTCCCCCCTTCTCTACCCCTGTCGCTTGTTCGCGGCTAATTAACGGCTAATCAATCGTCCCGTATTCGCTCGCGGAGCCGTGCCGACGCAAGACGGTAAGATTCATTTCGCCCGAAGCTTCCGCAACCCCATCGCGGCCCGGCAATTAATTCTGGCTCGCGCGCGCTCTGCTTCTTTTCGCGAATGTTAATTGCGACTTCACGGGAGTGAATTGTGGACGCGCCGGAGCGGCCCGTCTCGCCGGAGATATTGGCAAATCGTCCGCGCTATAGTTAACGAAGAATCACAGCCGAGGTCTTCTTCCTAATATTTCATTTCAGGGGAGACATAATTTTCACGCGTTGAAAAGAGCAATCGGACAGAGCGAATTAACGTGCGAGTGTGATGTAAATTTTTTCGCAAACTGCGTTGATTCAGTCAGTTCGAATAAACAAATCGAGGCGTAGCCATAGCTTAACGTAAGAGATTTAAACCGCACAATTTTGTGTCAGCAACAAATGGTGAAACAAATCTGAGAAATGCGATTGTATGCATGATATAAATATTTAGTGATTTTACAGAGAGAGAGAGAGAGAGCCACAAAGCGACTCCATTGCGGTGTAGGCATCGCGTGTTCCCGCGACTTGTTCAAATTTCGTAATTGATAGCCGATGAGATAATCGCTCGAAGCACCGCGGCTTCGCTCGCGCGAGCGTACGCATCGCGCGTCTACGGCTCCCTCGAAGGAAGACGTCTAAGTCCCGATTATTGCAACCTAACTGTTACCACCATTACCGTGATATTACCGTTACAGTAGCGTCACTACGTAGAGTTACTCCATCGGCCGGGAGTGTTGCTCAACTCCCCTGCGGCTCGTCTGGCTCATCTCGAAGCCAGTTTTCCCCTCGTGATCTCGACCGCACCGTGCTTGCTTTTTACGTGCGCACGCGAACAGAACCGTTCTTCGCGTGCCGGGATTATTAACACGGTCGAATGAAAGAAAATCGAATTACCGAAACGAGCGCTGCCGATTATGCGATCGTCCCGCTTGCCTATCGTAAATTTTTTATACCGCGACGATGTGGTGACTGCTTCATTAATTAGCACTTGTTTGCAATTAATTTTGATTACACGTAATTTATATTCTCTTCAGGACACGATAAAAAAAGAAAAAGAATGCCGATAAACGTAATGCCTAAAACGCTTTGACAATTCGTCCGTCAAAATCCGTCAGAGGAGGTCAGACATGATGGAATATTTAATATAATTACAGAAATGCACGGAAGGAAATTTGCGCGAAAAAAGTTTGGATAGTTTCTCCTTGCAAGAAGCTAATTCAACTGCGTTTTTCCTGCGCGAACGTGCCGATTATAACCTCGTGGGATCACGTTCACGCTTATTATTTCCGTCGAGGTGGAAATCGTGGCGTTACATCACCGGGGAGCATTCCTTATCCGTTCGTCCACGAGTCGTTTTCTCGAATCGCGGAAATAAGAGACGAGGGACTCGCGGTCGCTCCGTATCTGCATCATCCTTGGGGATGGCACGGTCGAACGAGGAAGCACCGCCGTCACCGTCACACAACGGCTCGTCCCCCGATTTTATTATAGCCGAAAGGGCACGTCGGTATGTTGCGGAATCACGTAAGAAGAGCGCACCTTTCACCTTCCGCGAGCTTGCGCAGATCGCTCTTATGTCGATACGTTCCGACGCGCATCGATAAATTCTGTGGGTGGCATGATTGATATGTATCGAACGTACAAAAGCAGCTGTATCTCGCGGCGCAGGGCCGATCGAACGGAGGACGCAAACATGAATCGCGCGTCGTCCGTCGCGGCGAGATTTACAACGGACTCGATCGCGAACGGAAATCTCCCTTCGCCGCGGTATTCGACAAATGTGCAAAAATCGCAAACGACCGTGACGGCCGATTGAATTTTCATCGAGAGAAAGTCGGTGGAAAGAAGACTTTAGCGGTAGCGTCACGCGCCAAGTATGCTGTGAAAGATGCTACCGTGTACCCACCTAGGAAACGAGAATCTCGATTCTCTACGAGAAACACTGGCTGGCTCGTTCGACGAACGTGTTTGTTATTCATTTGAGATCCGAACTATACCGCAGGGAGTTTCGGAGATATCAGACTGTAGAAAAAAAATTCAGTCTGCTTGCTTTTAGATACACTTCTTCTTTGCTTTGTACTTGATGTTTCTTCTCTTCTCATTTTGGATATACTTACGAGGTGTGTCGAAAGACAAAGTCAGAAGAATACTGGGAAATAAAAGAGGAGTTTGAGTAAAATATGCATAATGTACTTTTTTTGTACAACTTTTTTTGTACTTTTCCTATAGTTTAGTAAATGCAACGCGTTTTTACACGAATGTGTAGAAAATGTTGAAACCTCTTCAACATTTCGAAAAAATATTTATATTTTTTTATAATATCTTCGAAAAATGTATTCTGTACAAAAGTTATATGGGGTTTTAGGCGGTACGTTACGTAGTAAAATTAGTTACGTAGTAAAATTCAATCTTGAATAATATTATCAAGGTCACGTAAAGATTACCTTGAAATTTAAAACTTTCGAATCTTCACGTGATCTTGAGAAAGCTATTCAAAATCGTACTACTTTTACTGTGTAATATATCACTTAAAATCTAATTTTTGCATACTCTTTTCGAAAATACATATTTTTTTCGAGATGTTAAGAGACTTCGATATCTCCTACACAACGCATGAAGCGTTGTATTTATTAAATCATACGGAATATAAAACAAGTTTCATAGAGAGAAAAAGTTTATATATATTGTATTTTACTGAAGCTTCTCTTTTATTTCCAATTTGATTGACCTTCCCTTTTGACGCACCCTGCTGATCTGATTTTTCTGATTTTTCAAATTCGACGGAATTTACATGGTTGGAGCAAAATTTCGACTCAGGTTGCCTCTCACACAGACGAGCCGACGTAATCTCATAATGATCGAGCCGGCGGTGTTGCGGGCTACTCCGTGCATGAACATTTGATTCGGAAATTACGTCAATTCCTCTGTGAAATAACTAACTGTGGAATCGCCGTCGCGATCGCCGTCTGATGAGCATAATCCATCACGAGAAAGCAGGCTGAAAAACCGATCCCGGTAATCGGACGATCGCGATGCCGATGCCGATGCCCCGTGAATAATTGTGTGCCGCTGCGAACTCGTAGCGCGGATGACTGATCTCCTTCCGGAAAATAATCAAGAGAGACGCGTCTGGCTTCGAACAAACTCCGGCTCGGGTAAACGGGTAAATATCATCCGTCCGCGAGACGACGTTCGCAACGATGGCTCGCGAGCGCTCGAATGTGCACATGCGAGGGAAGGTCTCCGCGACCCGGAAGCCGTTGGAATTGGAAATCAGCGCGAAGGCGTCCTAGACGAAATCGTTTATCCAATTAAGATGTTAATGAGGGACCGTTGAGTGTTGCACCGTTTCCGTGTGCGTCGCTCGTGTGGTCCAACTCGTCGTTTTGCAAACTCGGTAAAAATGCCTTCCGAATGCTTCCGAGCTTCGTGACTTCAGCTTGTGAGATCACATTTTAATGTAACAACAACTGACAAGTAATCGGTAAATAACATAATACGGAAATGTTTAAAGTATAAGTATATTATTACATGTTTAAAATAATTCTAGGCAGTGTAAAATAATTGTAGACAAATAGCGAGCTTAAGAAATTCAGAGCTGGTCATGGAAATTGAATTTCCCCCCGAACGGCTTCATTTGTGATCATTAAATAAATAATATGTTATGTAAATAAAGAACTGCAAGTCATTCGAGCTGCGCGAGAAAGAAAAAGGCGAAACGAGATCGGCGCGAACGAACGAAAGTGAAGGTGAGCGAAGCGCCGACCAGGCGAACCGTTACAAAATCGAGGTGCGATAGTAAAAGGACGAGAAGGTCGCGGATCGGTTCACTTTCTAATTGTCATGATGTCCTGAAGTAGCATTAGGAAGA